AACGAAACTGCTGCAGTTTATCTCCCAGAGGTATAGAAGTAAAACACCACCACTTACCTAAATAAACTGGGCTGTAAAGTGTGACAGTTCAATAACAGCTTCATGGGCAGTTCCTACAGGAAGACAAATTCAGTCCTGGAGAGCAGAGGAGACTGGGCAGGTGAGGGCATGACCCTTCTTAAGTCTGGTGAGTTAAACTGTCCCAGCTACCTGGAAAAACTCCAGCTCCTTCTCAGCCTCTGGGACTAACATTTTCATGTCCCCAGCTAATTTCAGCTGCTGGTACAGGTTTTAAACTCCAGATCAATAATATGATGAGTTGCAATAGAAGGGATGCAAGTATTCAAATGTATAATCAGTTTTATTAAACGGAATGGGATTACTGTATTCTTAACTTGCATTTTAAAAGTAATCTGATAATTTTCAGCAGTGCATATCAGGGTGTGTCCACCCCTGCTGATTCAGAACTTTAGAATATGGTGATGCTGCAGATAAATGTAAACTAGCTTTGGTAATGAAACCTCAATAGTGTCAGATTCATGGAGCTCACTGAAACCACAGAAAGAACTTGGCATTGCAGAGAAGATATTCTGAGCAGGGCCTGCAAGAGCATGCTGTGTCTATTTGCACTGTTAAACAAAGAGGAGAAAGCAGCCCTGCTTCTGGCTTTCTTTTTCCTTGTTTAAGAGTATTTATATTTTTGTTTTAATTTTTCTAGCAAAACAATACTTCCAACTTTTAGTTTTCCTTTGCGTAGTCATAGACTCATTAAAGAAGAGTCACTTACTTCACCTCTACAAATAAAGTTTCCAATTGCTAATACTTGGCAAAAGCATTAGCAATCGCTTTGAAATATTGCTAAAAATTCCAAATTCTGGAACAGTCGCCTGCCAGTCAGCTAACCTCAGGGTGTACTGCCTTGATCTGACCAGTTCCCAGTACTACAGTTCCTAAAGACTTCTCCCTCACCTGTCATTATTGAAGAGCTATTGTCTTGAATTCAGCAACTAATACTGTAATTCCCATACACACAATCACAGACATTGTCTGACAGTCATTAATATGCATGAGCTCTAAGATTTATCCTCTAGTTGACCTAAATACATCTCTACCTGTTGCGCACCAGGAATCTGACAGTCTCATTCCCTAGAAGAGTTCTGAGGAGTTAAGCAAGTTCAGTCACTCACAGCTGCAAATGATTTTCATAATTGTACAATGGAGACAGTCACAGGAGACATCAGTTGTCACGTTCCCACTCCACTACAGGGATTTAAAGAAGAATGAAGAATTTCGGGAAGGGACAACCTAGACACAAAACCAGCAGGAAGCCAAAAGCTGAAAATGTAATTGGAGCCTGAGTGTAACTTCAGTTTTCAGTGTATGGATTAGTCTTCCTGTGTTATTGGGTCCTATTTCCCCACCTTAAACCATTTCACATTCTAGCTGCACTCTCCTTATCACTGCCCTCCCTTTCATCTTCATGGGGGAGAAATAAAAAAGAAAATGCATACAATTATGGAACTGATATAGATCGGTATTTTTAGTATTACAGGACTAAAGTTTTGGCCTGTAGCTTGAGTAGTTGCTGTTCTTTGCAAACAGCTGTTTAAATAGCATACCATTCAGAAGGTCTGTAATGAAGGCTGTGAACTCCTAGATATCAACCACCAGGCTACTGCCTGACATTATTTCAGCTACTTATTTTGCAGTTGCTGTAAACAAACCTAAAATAAACACGTAACACCACCAGCTCTAGTCACCTTCTTCATGTCATTCAAATGACAGAAAGCTATAGAATCTGATTTTTTTTAGAACACCTCTGTAACAACTGGTACACATCAACCGAAAAATGGTACTTATAAGTGTGTGATTCAGTAGTCCTGCCTAACATTTGGAAAAACTGAGACAAAGGCAAAATTACTTTTTCAAGATTATACAGCAAGTCAATGGCAGAGTACAATTACAATTCAGAGCCTTCTAGTTTCTAATCCTATAATCCTCTTTCCAAAATCTATTAAGCACAACCAAATATGCTGTTTCAGTGACGGCCATGAATGCTCCATTCTTTTGAATGCTCCACCCCAAGCATCACAAACTGACCGTCCAAATGACAACACATTGAATTTTTCACAGCCATAATAAAAACCTGAATTGAAAATACTTCACATCTCAAGTTTCAGACCAGTAGCGCTACAAAGGCTTTAATTATGAAGCAAATTTTTCTCATTCTAAGTTGTTGAAATAGGCTGCTGAGCCAACAATGTAGAAAAGTTTGTCTTAGGCTAAATGAGATGAAAATATTTGTGCCTCCCTCTGCTGTACAGTAACTCCTTGTTTCTGAGTATAGACCACGTTTGACTCCGTGAATCTGTCTCAGAGTCCCCACGCACTCCTGAATTCAGAAAGTCTGGCCAGAGAACGACTGGTGTTCTTTGCCCTTGCAAGTCATACCTGCAGGTCTCTCTTCACCATCTAATGCTGCTCTTGGCAAATGAAGCCAAGAACACTGCCTTAGTGACCCAACAGCAAAATTTGTCTTCTATCAGTGATAGAATCAAGGGGCTGGATGAACTTTTTGGGAGGCAGTAAAACCAGCTGCCAACTATCTTTTTTTAAAAAACCAACCAACCTGCAGACCTTCACTTCATCTGATGGCCAGTCCATAGCTCAGCTCTTGCACAGTTCTTACCATCCTCTAGAAAAGTGGATAAGCCTGGAAATCACTTTGTTTTTTGGACATACATACACTGTTTACCTTAAAGGTGTAGTAATATCTAAACCCACAAGCTATCACAGGGGTTCATAGCACAAAGGCCTTTTCTTCTGCTGGAACAAAACACACAGCACACACTTAGAAATTACACTGAGCATTGACACTGAGAATCAGAGCTTTTAAAATCTCCAGTTGCTAAGATTGCTTAACTGAAAAAGCACATTAAAGGTATAAAATTTTTCCATTAAATTTCTCTGCTTATATTTTATTTTCACACACAATCAATGGGTATTCAGAAAGTAGTTCTTTTTCATGACTGTCTGAATTTCAATCAAACCTTTTCAAGTACAGCAAGTTTTCTGCTACTTCAAGTTTCTTTCAATTTAAGGATTTTACATTTTGAATCAGTCTGTCTCTAGTTAGATGGAGCTCTCTCCCTTCATTGCCATGAACTTGTTTGATGCTCCCGAAAGATGAATGTGTATATAAATTAACCTGCTCCTCTTTCACTAAACCCATATGTGAGAAATGAATGAAGCGGTTTTATTACAAGCAGGGTTTCCATAATTTCCTGGTGGTGGGAAGTTTTTTGTGTGTGTGATCAGGGGTGTTCTGCAGTTCCTGTGGCTGCAGTTCTGTTACAGCCACGACCTGTTAATAGTTATAATCATGTTACTGTTGTTTGTTATTGCTGTGTGAAGGCGAACCGGGAAGCCTGTAAGGCAATGAGACCAGCCAGGGCTCATTGCCAAGGGACCATGCGGCCGGGACAGGGAAACAATCTGATAGGATGGTTAAAACAAC